TCTCTCTCTCTTTCTCTTTCTCTCTCTCTCTCTCTCTCTTTCTCCTAGTCAGATACTGAGAATGACACCGGGCATATAGGACAAGAGAAGTGTTACTGTGCAGAGTCCATACATACAGAAAAAGAACAGATACTGAGAACTACACCCGGCATACAGGACAAGAGAAGTGTTACTGTGCAGAGTCCATACATACAGAATAAGGACAGATACTGAGAATGACACCCGGCATACAGGACAAGAGAAGTGTTACTGTGCAGAGTCAATACATACAGAAAAAGAGCAGATACTGAGAATGACACCCGGCATATAGGACAAGAGAAGTGTTACTGTGCAGAGTCCATACATACAGAAAAAGAACAGATACTGAGAACTACACCCTGCATATAGGACATGAGAAGTGTTACTGTGCAGAGTCAATACATACAGAAAAAGAGCAGATACTGAGAATGACACCCGGCATATAGGACAAGAGAAGTGTTACTGTGCAGAGTCCATACATACAGAAAAAGAACAGATACTGAGAACTACACCCGGCATACAGGACAAGAGAAGTGTTACTGTGCAGAGTCCATACATACAGAAAAAGAACAGATACTGAGAACTACACCCTGCATATAGGACATGAGAAGTGTTACTGTGCAGAGTCAATACATACAGAAAAAGAGCAGATACTGAGAATGACACCCGGCATACAGGACAAGAGAAGTGGTACTGTGCAGAGTCCATACACACAGAATAGGAACAGATACTGAGAATTACACCCGGCATATAGGACAAGAGAAGTTATACTGTGCAGAGTCACTATTGCATTTGTTATTTAAAGGGCCGGTATAGAAGAAAAGCAATGGTGAAAAAAAGTGAAAAATGTGTGACTTCGGTTTCTTGGTAGTATTCTTTCTTTATCTGCGTATCTGGCGGTATGACAGGGACGTGTCCATTCGCTGTTCCTCCTCCCAGACAGAAGGGACGTGTGCACATTGGCACTATGGCCTGTGGAAGATCTGAGCTCTTCCATACGTCGGCCTCGTGTCTTTGGGTGGCTTTACACTAAGCTATATCGCAGAAGAAATGTCAGACGGGCCGATGGAAGTAATAAAGAAGTATGTACAGACAAAGAGCTCTACGGGATTCAGATCAATCAGGCTGTAAGAGTGATAATGCCATCGCTGCGGGGGAACCAGGCGATCTGATGTAAAAGATACACCACGCTGTGCCCGGATAATCAATGCTTTCACAGCTGCCTGCTCTTCCCATCAATTGTTCCGGATGAGTGCTTAGTGCAATGGATCCGGCCTATCAATGAGTGACTGAGTCATTTCCCACCGGGGCCCGGAATCCTTCCGCTCATTCCCTGACGGAGCCCAGAACTGAACGGTGACAGGACGTTATATCATTTACTCATACAGAGGTTATCCTACATACTTCTCAAATCTTCACAAGTCCAAACCCACAGTGCTAAAGCACTGCCAGGGATCCCAACCTGAAAGAAGCAATTTCCGCAGAGGGGGGTTAGGGGGGGCTGGGAGAGAGCACCCCCCTGAAATGATGGCAGATAGCACAGGAAGCAATAGCTTCTTTGCTATTTGCAGGTTTTTTTTCCTGACAGTTGCAGTCCTCAGCCATTCCTGCAGCCATTCTTATTGGCTATTGCACTTTGCAATAGCCAATAGCAAACTAGCTATTGCACCAGCCTTCTGCTGCTTTCAATCACCAGAAGAGGACCTAATAGAAAACTTCAGGTCCCCCTCTGCTGATTGACAGCAGCAGTGGGCGGGTGCATTAGCTAGTTTGCTATTGGCTATTGCAAAGTGCAATAGCCAATAAGAATCTAGCTATGCATTCGTATGCCTTTTTCTTTTTTTCTGACTGACGGTCGGGCCGCGGCTCCCAATGTCAGAAAAGAAAAAAACGATCGCAGGGAAAGGTTTACTCTGCTCGATTGCAGAGTAAACCTTGAGAAAGTGTTTCTCTCCCGGGCGGCCGGGAGCCGCTATCTGATAGCGGGAGAGTCCCGGAGCGTCCGGGAGAGTTGGGATGTCTGCACTGCGCATCATCTACTATTTCTTGTTCCTTGCACTCAATGCTGCTGACCTCCGGCAGTTTCTTTCAGTCACTTCCTGTCTACATGCACTCCAGCAATGGCGGCATGGCATTTCTCAAGGTGGTTTTCCAGGTGGTGACAACAGTGCACTGTGCCTGCATGTGTGTTGGCACCACAGCTTGTGGTCTCCATCGGAATCCCATGTGGCTGGGTGACAATGCAGGGGCACAATTGGGAGACAGGGACATAGAGTTGTCACTACGGATGCACCAATACCAATACTAGTATCGGTGCCGATACTGAGTATTTGAGCGAGTACTCATACTCACCCACATGCTCCCGATGCCTATGCTGTTAACGGAACTGCCGGTATCAGGAAGCTGGGCAGCAAGTCATTACACACTGCCCAGCTTCCTGCTTTGCCGGGAAGCCGGCTCCATGCTCCCTCGTCACCAGGGAACATGGAGCTGGCTTCCTGTCTATTCAGGAAGCCAGGGGGCGGGTAATGACTAGCCCCCTGGCTTCCTGATTGGCCGGGAAGATGACTCCATACTCTCTCATCACTTGGTTGGCGAGGGAGCATGGAGATGGACGGACAGCGAGTTATTACACACCGCCTTGCTTCCCGGCTAATCCTTAAAGGGACTTCTGGTATCAGTATTCGGTATAGGTGAGTACTGAGAAAAAATATCGGTACTCGTACTCGATACTGAAAAACCGGGATCAGTGCAGGTTTATATTTCATTTAATTTTAACTCAGGTTTTTGTTTCTCTCTGTGACCCCATTGGGGAGACTTTCCTGCACCTCCAGTCCTTGTGACACCGATGGCCCACACTAGGAATGAACTGATAGGCCGTGTTGGACCTTTTCCAGCGCTGAGCTGATGACAGGCAACGTCACTAGACACACACATGACTTGTATGTATATTGAAGTGGCGCCATCTAGTGTCTGATAAGAAGAATTCACTGTGATGATTAATAGTTCAAGAATACAATCTCCATAACAAAGCTAACATAGAAGGTTGAAACACATACAGAATATAAAAATTTATTATTAATACATTTCAGGTCTCGGGGAACACTTACTAAAACCGAATAATCAGTAGTCAATAGGGAAAATGCCCCTTACATTGCTGGTCAGTAGGAAGAATGCAACCCGTACTTCTGTGGCCTGAATGACACCTTTACAGGCAGCTAAAAAGATCATTGGTGTGACCATTCTGGTTTTGCTAAGTGGTGTTGGACCTGGAACCATACCGGCACCATCAACTGGGAGGTCAGTCAGCCACAGCTCAAGGAACCAAGGAACCTCCATGGGGTCGCACAAAACCCTGGTTGAAAATGGCTCCTATGAACTTTAACCCCTCCCTGTCCTTCTTGCAGATAAAGAGACCACAGATGTGCAGTGTATACTAGATGTGGTCTGGCAGTAAATTTGCAGTATTTAGTAGACGGCAGATATGCCCAGGGGGCCGTGATGCAAAGTGCAGCGATCTCATCTCCTTTGGCCACAGTTCCTTCCTGGAGTCCAAGCAGCAAACAACACAAAGTAAACCCGATCCCTAAACTCTCTTATATGACTTTGACATGTTTATGTCATTTTCAGTGTTGTTTTTGATCTTTTAAAATCTGCATATTTCAGTAAAATAGCACCTGGCGATTCTGCCGCCAAGGCCTTCATTGAGGCACTTCCTGTTGTTGAGTGACAACTGTCTCCCGAATCTAATCCTGCTTTTGGCCCTCCTGTCCCAAGCACACCTTGTGAAGACTGTGAGCGGTTGTGCCGACGCACATTATCCTTCAGGAAGCCAGTCCAAAGCAATGATGTGTAGGTGATGCTGCAGCAAATGCATGTAGACTGGAAGTAACTGAAAGAGAGTGAAGGAGATCAGCAACACTAAGATTCAAAAAAGGTGAAAACAGGATTTTATGGGGGGAACTGTATATGGTACAGAGCGTTTTAGCAAACCAAATTTCTGCCAGTGAAGGTTTGGTTCTGCTTTACTATTCCTGTAACACAGGGGTGGGTAACACCGGCCCTCCAGCTGTTGTGGAACTACAAGTCCCATGAGGCATTGCAAGACTGACAGTTACAGGCATGACTCATCGAGGCAGGGCATGTTGGGATTTGTAGTTAACGCACAGCTAGAGGGTAGGGGTTGCCCACCCTTGCTCTAACAGCAAAGTCCATGAAGTGGACGCGTATGAAGCTGTGGTCGATCCGCTACGCGGCTCCTTCAAAGCACCCGCAGAGAATTATGTTAAGTGGCTCCCTCAGGCGAGGCAGAAATTGCTGTCAATTACAGAGCGCGACTCTTAACTGCTGCCGTGAATCAATAGCCTCCCGCTAATGGCCCGGTAATCAGGCTTACTGTACAAAGAGAAATGTATATTCAACCCAACTAAGAATCACAGCAACACAATCCGATGTCAAAGTACATGTAACAGTTTTCTAAAGCGCTGTGTATTATACACAATTGTTCATTTTTCCCATGGAATACTTGTTTTTACCTTTTTTTTCCATCTGGGGAGGGTGTATACCAGCAAAAAAATATATATATCGGGGCTCATGTATAACGAAGAGCAAATATCATTACCTGCGCTCTGTTATGCAGCGTGCACCACTGCAACCACTGTTTTTTAAATGAACCCCATAGGCAGGGCCTGGGATTCTCTGGACGGCGTCCTGCTCAGCTCCTGGCAACCAGAGTCAGAGCCAGAGCTGGGTGGAGGCCATCCTCCCCATCCAACCATGCAACCAGCTACTCCCCATCGCCTCTGGCAGCGAAAAGGCTAGGGACGCCGCTGCCCATAGTTCTGATGTGTAAGGGCCATAAACATCTCTCCACTCAGCTCTTAGGAGCCTGGTATTCGCTGTACGGCGGCTTGCTCAGCTCCTGGCAACCAGTGACGTCACTGGATACCAGGAGCTGGACGGGGCGCCGGCCAGAGTCAGAGCCAGGTGGACGCCACACACCCCCTTCCAACCATGCAACCAGCCGATCCCCGCCTCCTCTGGCAGCAAAAGGGCAAGGGACGTAGTTCTGATGTGTAAGGGCCGTAAACATCTCTCCACTCAGCTCTTAGGTGCATGGGATGCTCTGGCTGGCTTCTTGCTCAGCTCCTGGTAATCAGTGAAGGGTTTAGTTGCCAGGAGCTGGGCAGGACGTCAGCTAGAGCCAGAGCTGGGTGGAGGCAACCCCACCCCTCCATCTAACCATGCAACCAGCCAACCCCCGCTGCCTCTGGCAGCGAAAAGGCTAGGGACGCCCCTGCCCATAGGGTTCTTTTCTACATTACATACGTTCTTTCTTTATCTTTTTCTTTGTCATACTCTGAGCTAACAAAAACATTTGCTGAGCTTCCTAAAATATCCTTCCTGATAATGTTCTCAGATATTCACATTTATCCATAAAACATTTGACATAATCCAGCCTGTAAAATGATATTATTAGTGTACGCTGCCCTGTTCTACAGTACTGTATATTGTCTATTACAATGATGACATCTAGTGGTTGTGATTGGTATTGCAGCCTAGCCCTGCGCAATCTTTATTAGCTTCAGCATCTTGAAGAGTATGTAAAGCCTAACAATAAACTTCGCTTCCTTTGCTCTCTGCTAAATATATTATGTATTACAGTTATTAATATACAGTGCTGACAATTTACGCAGCACTTTACATAGTTGCACATTCACATCAGTCCCTGCCCTTAAGGAGCTTACAATCTGAGGGCCCCATGTCACATGGATACAGTGCTGATTTAGAGAGGAGCCAATTAACCTTCCAGCATGTTTTTGGAGTGTGAGAGGAAACCGGAGTACCCGGAGGAAACACATGCAAACTCCTTGCAGATAGTGTCCAGAATGGGATTTGACCTGAGGCCCCTTCCCCCCCAGTGCTGTAAGGCAGAAGTGCTAATCACTACCCCTTCCTGTGCTCTCTGCTTGTACACAAGGAGAGCTTAGGCCCCATTCACACCAGCAATTAAAGCTATTTCCGAGTTCTGGGGGCAACATTTTTTAGAGTTCTGTGGCTGGAACCAATAGCTGCTGTGCAAATAGCTGCTGTTGCTTAGCCTATGCAAAGCAATGACAGGATGACGGTCACGGCTGTTTGGATGTAATCGGACATTGTCAGTTACCTGCGGTTAGGGACAAATGATCGCCCCCGGATGGAGGCTGTCTGTCCAAGGATGATCATCTATCCCAATTCACAGGTAATCAGTGGTGTATTGGCATTGTAGAGGTTGAGTGGCAGCACCAATTGTGGTTCCGGTAGCAGGAATCTGAATATTCTTTGCATAGGCAAAGCAATGGCTTTTGATATACATTGCCTGGCCCCCCCAAAAACAGAGTCAGACTGGATTTAGCTAAACAAATCGGAAAAAGCCTTTTATTGGATAAGTGTTATGATCTGGGGGGGCTTCAGTTGGTCAGCTCTAGGTTCAGCAATGTTATATTCCCAAAAAATGAGGTCAGCTGCCGACCTGAATATACGGAACCATCAGGTTTTTCCATCAGCGAATTTTTTCTTCCCTGACGGCACATTGGTCATATTCCAAGATGACAATGCCAGGATTCATCGGGCTCAGATTGTGAAAGAGTGATTCAGGGGGCATGAGACATCATTGCCACACATGGATTGGCCACCAAGGTCCAGACCTTAACCCCATTGAGAATCTTTGGGATGTGCTGGAGAAGACTTTACACAGTGGTCTGACTCTCCCATCATCACTACAAGACCTTGGTAGAAAATGTATGCAACTCTGGACAGAAATAAATGTTGAGACATTGCATAAGCTGATCGAAACGATGCCACGAAGAATGTGTGCCGTAATCAAAGCTAAAGGCGGTCCAATGAAATATTACAGTGTGTGACCTTTTTTTTTTGTCCGGGCAGTGTACTTTAGATATACTTTAAGTTAATCAAGCAACTAACATTATTAGCTGCTGGGATATGACACTAATGTTTAGAACATGTTTAGTAATTCTAAGGAGCCGGGCTTTTGTAAATTGAAAAAACCCCCAAAAAGTACCTTTACAAGAGAACCTGTCTTAAAAAACTGTGAAGCCATTGAAAAGGACTTTTTTTTCCTATTCTCTATTCCTCCCGAATCCAATTTCATTTTGTTATTGAGCGCTTGACTTTCCATACTTCGGGGCAAAAAACGCACTCTGCAGCTAAGTTCTACAACACCTGCCATACTTGTGGCCAATGTGAGCACTTTAGCGGTTATCATTGATGTTGTTCTCATTAAATAGGTATCTGGTGGGTGGGCAGTGTGTAGCTCCAAAGATGGGAAGCACTTCGTAAACAAAGTGAAACCAAAATCAGAGGGGTGCATAGAAAAAGCTACAATAACCAAAGCACTACACTAAACGACTTACCATCTTACATAACTTTATTTTCTACACATGGAAAGCCTTAGAGACCCTGTCACCAAACAAAAAAATCTGCAGGAAAAAGCACAGAAAACCTTTTATATAGCTGCCCGGAGGAGAAAAGGGGGATACTATAGAGCAGGGGTGGGCAAACTCTAGCTCTCCAGCTGTGATGGAACTACAAATCCCATGAGGAATTGCATGATTCTCACAGCCACAGGCATGACTCCCAGAGACAGATGCATCATGGGATTTGTAGTTTCACCACAGCTGGAGGGCCGCAGTTTGCCCACCCCTGCTATAGTGTGACTTGAGTGACAGCTCTGAGTCTGCTGGGGCTGCTGACATCACATCAAAGATGGCAGAGTTCCCAGCAGCAATCTCAGGGCTTTGGGATGTCTACACAAGGTAATTAATCTTTTACAGGTAAATAACATGCATATAATACGGTAAATACACACACAGGGGCAGATCGCTGTGCGAAAGAGATTCATAGCTCTGTATGGCCAGTAGATGGAGCTGAGGGAATAGGAATTTCCTGTTCTCCTCAGCTCCATCTGGTGGCCATACAGCGCAGCAAAACTCATTCACACGGTAAAAAGCTGTGCGAATGGTTTATAAATCAACAGCAAAAAGTTTCCCAGCACACTTGCGAGCTAGCATGCAAAAAAAACCGCTAACGTTGAAAACAGAGGTTTAGATACACTTCTTCTGCAGAAAATGTGAAAGCCGCACAGCCGCGCTAAGGCACCTCTTATAGTGCGGTCCTATCTCTAAAACTATCAGAGCCTCCATCTTGGAGCACATGTAGCAAAAGATAAAATTTGGGTGCAGGTTTGTCAGGAGGAAGGCCAACCTCCCTTAAAGGCACGGGGACGCACAAGGGACCCCGCACATCACAACGGCAGATGAGACCTCCCATGCGTCACTGCACCAAATCAGTCAAGCAAAACAAATGTCAAAGGTTAAAAACAGAGGTTTAGATACACGCCTTCTGCAGAAAATTCCGGCAAACCTGCCCACAATTTGATCTCCAAGATGGAGGCTCTCATAGTTTAGAGTTAGGACCGCACTATATAGAGGTGCCTTGGCGCGGCTGTGCGGCTTTCACAATTTCTGCAGAAGACGTGTATCTAGAACCTCTGTTTTTAACCTTAGCGGTGAGACAAGTTTTTTTGCATGCTGGCTGGTGAGTGTGCTGGGAAACCTTTTGCTGTGGTACTCTATAAGGCCCTTCCATGTGCACCTTGCTGTAAAGCTGGAGACAAATGAATGAGTGCGTTTGCCATTTGTTTTGCTTGGTTTATAAAATCAGCCTCATAATCGAATGGGAAGATTTTTGTTGAAATAAATGGACTGCGGACAGGTCCACATGAATTTTTACGTAGACCACCCAGAGCACTTTCATTTTCTCACAAGAGCAAAGAGGGAGACGAAGTGATAAAAATATAGGTTTTATTTGACGTAAAGAATAGCTTTATAGACACAACTGTGTTTTATTTGATGGTGAGAGTTATTTCAAACATTTTGACTGCCCAGATTACATCTCATACAGCAGCTCAGCCATTTCGCCAGCAGCCAAACAAACGTTCAGCCTATCGATTCACCGGATCATGTGACGTCACGGAGACACAAGGCAGTGAAAGGATAGGCTGCAGTCCTGCGGATGACACCTTCCTTCGCAAAATGGCTGACAAAAGTCTGGAGCGACCGTTGCTTCAAGCTCTTGTCCATTAGTGTGTTGTTGTCACTTTTTTCGTTTGTTACATAAGAACTCAAACCCATCGAGGCGTGGACGTGTTATATCTAAAAGGGTAAAACAACTGCGTAGTTTTTATTTTTATTTTCTTCTTGTAGGCACACAATGCATTCGCATGTCAATTCCGCTCGACCGCACGTTCCCTTATATAACGGGTCAACTCGTCAATTTGAAATACACCCGCAGACCCAATGTTAGTATCTCCTCACAGGCACGACTACAGCAAATCCACATTCTATGCTGTTTCTTTTATTATATGACATAAAATCTCGGTGTGACACGGTCATAGCATCCTGGGAAAAGAGTGAGCGATGGAGACGGGGTGACCAAGAGACGCTGAACCGCGAGGAGTAGGGTGATACATTTCGACCTAAGAAAAGACAGGAGGACGAAGCCTTGCTTTGGTGAGTGTCTCGTGTTGATTGGTTGTGAAACTTCGTGGACGTGTCCTCCATAGCTTGAAGTCGACTCAGGCCTAATCCCCCTGCAGGACGGACCTGGAGGATGTTAAGGACACATCAGCAGGGAGGTGTGACTCCGTTCTGTAGTGTTATTTTGTACGTTGCCGCGTCCGCGGGTCCCCTCAGCTTTCATAGCAAGAATGGGTTGGTGGCATTCATGGCTTGGGCGTTTGAGGGAGGGATGGCAGTGCTGTGATGCGGCAAGGTGGCTGCCATGTTTATGTTCATCCCTGCTGGCGGTACCGCGGGCAGCGTTGACATGCCGAGTAATGGGAGTGGCATGGAGGCCTCGTTAGCGGGCATGTTGTTGAAGGACGATGCGACTCCCATCATTGGGCTGGAACGCAGCTGGTTTAGGGTCAGCGCTTGAGGCTGGTTGACCTGGAAGGGGTTGATAGCGGGAGCAGCTATTGGAGCAGTTTGTACTAGGAAGAGAAGAGGCAAAATTCATTAGTGTGGCTGGCGCTGGGTTTGAGCGCAGATTAAACCTGAACTTACAGCTGAATGCAAAGAAGAAATTCATATACGAGAGTTGTTATACCTGCAAAAGGATTTGCATTCACATCCATCCAGCACTGAGATTTACATAGCTCTGCCACACAGCACAGCCCTCTGGCAGTGTAGGAGACCTGGTATTTGTCTGCTAGATCTCAGTAACACTTACAGGTCTAGTCCCTCCCCCAGCCTGTGACAGTGAAAGCAAAAGCAGCAGACTGATGATCTCATCTTTCTGCCACTTTGCTCTTTCTGCCTATCAGCATGCTTCTTGTCAATACACTGCAGCACAACTCCTTGGCTCTTTGTGCTGCTTCTCCTTCTCCCGGCCTGAGGTTTGCTGTACAGAAACATGAAACTGCTGATACCAAGTCAAATTCAGGTACTTGCATTTCAAAAAAAGACACGAATGGCATGTTACAAAAGACAAATAATGCAGCATTGTATTTACTATGTACCTGGAGTTCAACTTTAAAGTACTTGTACAGTACAGAAGTGGTTTGTAGCAGCTCGTGCCACCACTGGATTTCCCAGCACTTTAAGTCCCAATGGGAAGTGAGAGGGAATCTCCATAGTGGGGGCAAGGACTGCAAAAAAACATCAAGGAGTTCTATCCCTTCCACGCTCTATATTAAAAATATTTAAAACAAAACTGGCTTTAAAGAAGAATTCCGGGAAAATCACAAACCTAGGCTGGCCATATATTAGCTGCCGGCCCTGATCATACGAAGACTTTCCGGCCAGCTCCTTCGATCAGCTGTTCGAGGGATGCTGACCGAGAGGGTGCTGACAGCGGCACACACTGTGTGAATTTCGGGCACTTCCTCACAAAACAGCTGAAATTCGCACAGTGTATGGCAGGGATGTCCAAACTCCGGCCCTCCAGCTGTGGTGAAACTACAAATCCCATGAGGCATCTCTCTCCGGGAGTCATATCTGTGGCTGTGAGAATCTTGCAAAGCCTCATGGGATTCGTAGTTCCACCACAGCTGGAGGGCCGCAGTTTGGACATCCCTTGTGTAAGGGCACCCTTTCGCTTGCACTGGGGCTACCCCATGCACTGCAAGGGTTAAGTGCTCATTTTGTATAGGGATGGAATAAAGCAGAATTACGTACCTGATCCCCAGTCCTACCATCTTCCTCCGGGCTGCTAGATTGGTCCCTGCAACCTCTTTTTCCCTGGGTTCCAGCGTTCTAAGGACCCATAACATCATCACATCTTATACAGGTCCATTGACTTGCATTAGACGTGAGGACACCAAGGGACATTAAATAGCCGGGGGGAGAGATGAGTACCGCCTGCCACGGGACCGAGGAGGATCAGGTAAGTAAATCTGATAATTTGAGACAAAACAAGCACTTAACCCTTGCATTGTGAGGGTAGTCCCACTGGAAAGGTAAGTTTGTGATTTTCCCAGAGTTCTTCTTTAAAATTCAAATAAATCCGAAACTCTTATTTTGGAGACCTTTTTCATGTCATTCAAAATAATAAAATGCTGTTCCCCAGCTCCCAGCCTTGATCACATGGGGTCTGGCTACCAAACCTGACTACATAGAGTCTATTGTTTTCAATCGGCAGTTATATAGGAGGTTCATAAAAGCTGCCATTGGGTACAAAGATAAACGCAAAGTATATACAGCTTATCATACATGTGTGACATCATAGGTAACCTGAAATGGCCTACGGAGTCACTCCTCACTGGCGAGGGAGATTCCTCAGCATTTCTGCCACTGAGCTAGCAACACCTTGCTGGTCCAGAACAAACGTCCCAATTGTAAGATTTCCCCTTATTCTGTTCTGGTGACAGCTGTAAAATTTGGGATTTCCTATCACTTTCTTACCTGGTCTCCTAGGATTCATTGAGAGGGTGAATGTCCCTGATGTCCTGGTGTCAATGGTCACTAGGATTCATTGAGAGGGTGAATGTCCCTGATGTCCTGGTGTCAATGGTCACTAGGATTCATTGAGAGGGTGAATGTCCCTGGTGTCAATGGTCACTAGGATTCATTGAGAGGGTGAATGTCCTTGATGTCTTGGTGTCAATGGTCACTAGGATTCATTGAGAGGGTGAATGTCCTTGATGTCTTGGTGTCAATGGTCACTAGGATTTATTGAGAGGGTGAATGTCCCTGATGTCAATGGTCACTAGGATTCATTGAGAGGGTGAATGTCCCCGATGTCCTGGTGTCAATGGTCACTAGGATTCATTGAGAGGGTGAATGTCCCTACAGGAGACACAGACAGAGATAAAAACCAAATCTACTCTTCTTTTATTGGATAGTTAATATACACATTTAAAGCCACCCGAATCACTCCTGCTACATATCCAGCAGTTAAAACGTAAACCAACTAGCTGCTACTATACTACATGCTGGCGATGCTGCTGCAGTATTAGTTATGGTGGTGACAACAAAAAAGTGGAAAATTGGTTAGAACATGTAATTTTATTTTGCTGTCTCTTTTCTTTTTAGGGAGCTCTCCTCTCACTTCCTGTCCCAGAGGCACAGCAGGAAGTGAGTGGAAACCTTTACAAAGTAAGGGGGAATCCCCTCTTAGACGGTAGTCACTAGAGCAGTGTCCCCATTGGAAGATCCCTTTCACCTCTTTGTTCTTGTGACCACTGTAATACTTTGGACTGCCGTGAGATGCAAAAAATATATAATTGTTCATGATACAAGCAAGGTAAATTAATTCTTCAGGCTGGATTCACAATTTCCAGTGTGCGTGCAGCATGCTTGGTAATGCCCATGCATAAAGGGGCCCATATAGTTTCCCTTTCACATTTACCTTCAGTGCATACATGTGAACCAGCCACATAGGAAATAATGGGAGTCGATGGGCCCCTAGGGTATTCTTCTACTGTAATACAATTTTTTGAAGTATTGTCAATTACAATTCAAATGATATCTGCGACAGTTAATAACGCAAATAACCAGCAATGATCATTCATCAAAAAACTGCACATTGTTTTGCGCAATTCGCCATTTTTGCCAAATTGTGCAGTCATCTGAAAAACTGGCCTGTGGGCTTTACGTTGTCCTAATAGGATGATCCAGAAAGGGCACGGAGGTTGTGGCCGGTCCAGGGACTGATCAGTAAGTTAATGTACGCAATAGAGATGGTTGGGCAACGCTGGGAAGTTCCTGTAGCTGTGTCTGTATTGTGAGAGGCCTTATTATATCCCTGTGAGTAGAAGGGGCGGGGGCGAGCGGCAAGGTATTTCAGGAATCCCCAAAGTAAACAGGTCATTTCCGATTTCCAGACACACAGGAAAAACACAGGAAAGGAACTTTCTCTGGAATTAAGAGGCCCTGGCCGGGTGCCACAGACAATTAGAAAGTCTTTGTGAAACCAGAGAGCAGTGAAGCCTATGTATGTAAATCCTGCAGAAGGGGACTCGATTGGAGGGCGGATTATAAGTTTTAGGACATCCCAGAGCTGAGATTCATATATAGGAAATGTTTACCGGTCAGATGGTTTGTAAAGTAATGCTCCGGCGTTTTTACCAAATGCTGTTGCTATACAAGATAGGACTCTCCGCAGAGAATAGAGCTGTAGGTGGGACTCAGCAGGTCCTCCCAATATTGGCCATTTGCAGAAAACTTTAGGGAAGGGGGCATACAAGACCTGTCACCCTGCAATGCTGCATCTGGAGAGAGAGACGTAGTGGCCGGTATTTACTATAGGAAGCTCCTACGTTGAGGGAAAGTGAACATTGTAAGTTAAGATTTCTCCACCAAAACATTACATGAAGCACTAATGATGACAGATTTTACAGAGGTGGCATGGTTTACAAAGGTGGGCATGGTTTACAAAGGGAGTATGGTTTAGGTGGGCATGGTTTACAAAGGGAGTATGGTTTACAAAGGCGGCATGGTTTACAAAGGGAGTATGGTTTACAAAGGCGGCATGGTTTACAAAGGGAGTATGGTTTACAAAGGCGGCATGGTTTACAAAGGGAGTATGGTTTAGGTGGGCATGGTTTACAAAGGGAGTATGGTTTACAAAGGCGGGCATGGTTTACAAAGGGAGTATGGTTTAGGTGGGCATGGTTTACAAAGGGAGTATGGTTTACAAAGGCGGGATGGTTTACAAAGGGAGTATGGTTTAGGTGGGCATGGTTTACAAAGGGAGTATGGTTTACAAAGGCGGGCATGGGTTACAAAGGGGGCATGGTTTACAAAGGCGGGCATGGTTTACAAAGGGAGTATGGTTTACAAAGGCGGGCATGGTTTACAAAGGGAGTATGGTTTACAAAGGCGGCATGGTTTACAAAGGGAGTATGGTTTACAAAGGCGGCATGGTTTACAAAGGGAGTATGGTTTACAAAGGCGGGCATGGTTTACAAAGGGAGTATGGTTTACAAAGGCGGGCATGGTTTACAAAGGGGGTATGGTTTACAAAGGTGGGCATGGTTTACAAAGGTGGGCATGGTTTGCAAAGGCGGGCATGGTTTACAAAGGTGGCATGGTTTAGAAAGATGGGCATGGTTTACAAAGGTGGCATGGTTTACAAAAGGGGTATGCTTTACAAAGGTGGCATGGTTTAGAAAGATGGGCATGGTTTACAAAGGTGGCATGGTTTACAAAAGGGGTATGGTTTACAAAGGCAGGCATGGTTTACAAAGGTGGCATGGTTTACAAAGGTGGCATGGTTTACAAAGGGAGTATGGTTTACAAAGGCGGGCATGCTTTACAAAGGGGGTATGGTTTACAAAGGTGGCATGGTTTACAAAAGGGGTATGGTTTACAAAGGGAGTATGGTTTACAAAGGTGTGCATGGTTTACAAAGGGGGCATGGTTTACAAAGGTGGGCATGGTTTACAAAGATGGGCATGGTTTATTTCTACAGTAATGGAGTCTAATAGAATCTAATTTTACAAGGATGTTCACCCAGCTTCATCTGAGCATCAGCTCAGTGCCATCTCTGTCTGTGAATCTGTGTCACTCTCTGACTGTTAAACTCTCCATCAATGCTAATCATTCTAAGTTTCACAATATCGGGGTGTCTACAATAAATAGTCTTTGCGCTGTATAATGACTTTGCACCTGCCATAAGTTATTAAGCACTTTGGGGATTCTTGCTTCCAGCAGCTGCTGGCACTGAGGGCATTGTACATTCCCAGACCAGCACATCAGCGGGTCAATTGGACATGCTACTTATGCTAAGCAGCTTTCACATTCCTGCCCTGCACTGAAAACCACATCTGCAAACCTCACACAGATGCATCTTCTCATCTAGACAGAGAACTGAAGGGGTTAAGGCAGGCTAGGACAAGGCGGAGGCTATGTTTAGGATTAGGCTGAAGCAGAAGGTTGGGTTAGGTTTTGGCTGGAGCAAAGTGTAAGGTTAGGTTTAAGCTAAGTCAGAAGGTATAGTAAGACTTGGAAGACTAAGTCAGAAGGTATAGCAAGGATTTGCAAATTTCAAGGGTATGTTAAAATCAGGCTAGGTAAGGGTGTGTGTAGGATTATGCTAGGACAGAGGCATAGCTAGGATTCTGTTAGGACAGAGGGTATGTTTAGGATTCAGTTAGGGCAAAGGGTACGGTTAGGATTTGGCTAAGGTAGGGAATTGAGTTAGAATTAGGCTAGGGTGGAAGATATGGTTAGGATCTGGCTAGGACAGGGGGTATGGTTAAGATTAGGCTTGGGCATAAAGTATGGTTATGAATGAGAGGGCATGTTTGCGATAAACTAGGACAGAGGGTATGGTTAAGATTGGGCTAGAGCAGAGGGTATAGTTTAGATAAGGCGAGGGAAGAGAGTTTAGTTTAAATTAGGTTAGAGCAGATGGTAAGGTTAGAATGAGGTACAAGTTTTGGTTAAATGTAAATAGGAACAGAATAGGCAGAATGCATGAGTAGGAAAATGCAAAAATAAGAATGGTTAGGATTAGGCTAGAGTAGAAGGTATTATCATTATTAGGCTAAAGTGGAAGGTATGATTAGGATTAGATTAGGATGAAAGGTATGGTTAGGATTATACTAGAGCGGAAGGTATAATTAGCATTATATTAGAGCTGAAGGTATGGCTAGGATTATACTAGGGTGGAAGGTTTGATCAGGATTATACTAGAGGGGAATATACAGTTAGGATTGTACTAGGCTGGAGGATATGATTAGGATTATACTAGAGCAGAAGGTATAATTAGCGTTATATTAGAACGGAAGGTATGGTTAGGATTTTACTAGGGTGAAAGGTATTGGTTGGGATTATACTAGGGTGAAAGGTATTGGTTGGGATTATACTAGGGTGGAAGGTATTGGTTGGGATTATATACTAGGGTGGAAGGTATTGGTTGGGATTATATACTAGGGTGGAAGATATTGGTTGGGATTATATACTAGGGTGGAAGGTATTGGTTGGGATTATATACTAGGGTGGAAGGTATGGTTGGGATTATATACTAGGGTGGAATGTATGGTTGGGATTATACTAGAGTGGAAGGTATGGCTAGGATTATATACTAGGGTGGAATGTATGGCTAGGATTATATACTAGGGTGGAAGGTATGGTTGGGATTATATACTAGGGTGGGAGGTATGGTTGGGATTATATACTAGGGTGGGAGGTATGGTTGGGATTATATACTAGGGTGGAAGGTATGGCTAGGATTATATACTAGGGTGGAAGGTATGGTTGGGATTATATACTAGGGTGGGAAGTATGGTTGGGAATATATACTAGGGTGGAAGGTATGGCTAGGATTATATACTAGGGTGGAATGTATGGTTGGGATTATATACTAGGGTGGAAGGTATGGCTAGGATTATATACTAGGGCGGAATGTATGGTTGGGATTATATACTAGGGTGGAAGGTATGGCTAGGATTATATACTAGGGTGGAAGGTATGGCTAGGATTATATACTAGGGTGGAAGGTATGGCTAGGATTATATACTAGGGTGGAAGGTATGGCTAGGATTATATACTAGGGTGGAAGGTATGGCTAGGATTATATACTAGGGTGGAAGGTATGGCTAGGATTATATACTAGCGTGGAAGGTATGGCTAGGATTATATACTAGGGTGGAAGGTATGGCTAGGATTATATACTAGGGTGGAATGTATGGTTGGGATTATATACTAGGGTGGAAGGTATAGTCAGAGTTAGGCCGCAGTAAAGAAAAAGACAAGGGAGAGAGTTAGGTTTGAGGATTAGGATCAGTTTAAGGGTCTTTACATTTTTTATGGGTGTATTGATGGAGCAGAAAGTGACCGGTCGTATCTATATTACAGCCAATGTTACACTTTGCGGTCACCATCTGCTTCTTCCCATTTGCTGGATGGCAAACACTGATTTCATTGACCCCTGTTGAGGACCAGCCATGCTGGCTCTCGCTCGCTCACCCTCTCCAACCTTAATTTGCATTATCTATCAGATTTCCATGATAAAATATCACATATAATAAGATTCATAAAGGAGGTGAATGTGCCGGGTGAATGTCTGCAAACAGCAGAAAATGTTCTTTTTGAATCTGCCAGGAAGTTTGCAGTGATGAACACACTTCTGATTTGCATACCAGTTCCAGGTCAATGACTCAGAAATCAAGTGTCTAGTAAGCCCTTGAAATCAATGAGACTACAGGATTCTGCCGTACCCTACAGAGCTGATTTCTGATTGGTTGCCAGAGGTCAGGGGGATGCCTTTCCTTCCTTCAGCTCTTTCATAGCATTTTCACAAATGTCAAATAATAATACCAGCCTAAAAAAATAATGATGAGATGTACCTGATGCCAAGAAGGGGTTAAACGTAGGGGCGGGCGGCGTGGGCATCGTCACCAGTGTGTCCAGGTTCACTAGGGCGGCGTTGGATCCCAGGAAGGATTCTGGGGTTTTGCGAGCGATGGCCTGTTTGCCCGTGGTCATGGCCACCAGCTGGGAGTCAAAGAGGTCCGGACTGGTGGTACCACTGCGTAAGGACGGCAATGTCGATATGGAATCTGCTAGAAGGGGGGAGAAAAAAAATGGAGTCAGCCATGCCGGAGGTTTTCTACATTTCAGAAACAAAAATTCTCAAAAGAAAAATACCTGTTGATCCTGCCAGAAATTCAGTGAGCTCCTCACTTCCTGTTTGAGCTGACAATGCTGCATCTTCTGCTAAAATCCTGTGCCGTTGTCAGCCCTGTCTGAGACTACAGAATCCACCCAGGTAATGATATATCATCATATATATATATATAAGATATGTAAGTGAGAAAAGGGGGAGGAAATCTGTAGTCCAGCAGGGAGCTCTATTGTGCCGCAAATCAATTCAAGACCTCACTAAATTTCTGGTGGGATCAACAGGTATTTTTTTGTTGTGTTTTAAAGAGACAAGACACACTGCAATGTGCATGTATAGCAGAGACGTGCTGCGTCTGTTTTTTCCATGTAATCTGCCCATAGATACACGAATGACATTGACGTGAAACATGAGATTTTAGTGACTGGTTTTATGTCAGCTTTAAATGAAGAAATTAAGATTCTTACCAGGCCACCGACTTAATAAATGGCACAGGGGGTAATAAGAGGCGGGATTACAAGCATTGTGAATCTACTGAACTCCCTGTTTTTTGTATTTTAGTAGGTTACTGTTAGCAATCAAAAGTCCAAGTGGGTGTGGCCTGGGACCGCGCTCAGCTAAGCCATCAGCAAGCCATTGCCGGGTCTCTGTGCTTCTCCATACAATGCAGGCTGATCTTGGCTGGTGGGAAGGGCCACCATGGGGCTGTATGTAGCTTGCTGGAACATCGCAGCACCCTGCCTCAGCCCTCAGGGGTCAGACTCTTGGTAGGAGTTATGCCAATATCAAAATCCCTTGATGGGTTGATGTCAGTCTGCTGGAGTGAGCTTTCCCAGGCAGGCTGCATTTGTATGCATGCCCCAGCTAACCCCCACACGTGATGCTGAGCCTCCATGATTAAAAGAACTGAAATCCAATGAATGAAAGGGGCGGGCCAGGGACAGTCAGGCTGGGGAGGAAAGCAGTGGATGATAGACATGTGCACTGCCAAAAAATTTGTTTAGTTTCGTTTTGATTCGGATTTGTGTTATTTTGTTTTTCGGGATTCGGGTGTGAAAGTCAATTCGGATTCGGACGAAATTCGTTAGCGGTAGTTCGTTCGAACGTTCGTTTCGGTTTCGTTTCTTATGCGTTTCGGTCATTCGTTCGTTCGTTTGCAGCAAAGTGACATTTGAGGGGGAAAAAATGTTTTTCTCCTTCTCTAATGTCACTTTGCTCCAACGAACAAAACGAAAACGAACGTTCGAACGAACTACCGCTAACGAATTTCGTAAACGAAAATTCGGATTCGTTTGCATTCGTTATATCTGTAATTTGGAATTCGGATACATCCGAATGTCCGAATTTCCGAAAATTCGTCCGAATTTCGATTCGGAACGAAACGAATCGCACATGTCTAGTGGATGATGCTGGATGCCTTCCAGCCAGGAAATGAGGCGGTTCTGTCTGACTTGCTGCAGCTTCTAATGCACATTGTGAGGAGCTCCCAGTGTGCAGTGATATTAGAGTAAGACATTTCAGTCCAGGAGAGGAGCCGGTACAACTGAGCAAGACTGAAGGCCGGAGTTCTGCTTTAAATTATGTTCATGTCATAAGCAGTTTCCAGCTGTAAAGACCCGATAAGAATGGCTGGTTTCCCAGAAAGTCTTTCTCCTTTAAGAAAGCGGAGTTTAATCCCCCAGCACAGCTACAGAGCAGGTCCTGGAGAGAGGACAGACTAATGTAAGCCAGGGGTGGACAACTCCGGCCCTCCAGCTGTGCTTTAACTACAAATCCCAACAGGCCTTTGCCTCTGGGAGTCATGCCTGTAACTGTCAGTCTTGCAATGCCTCATGGGACTTGTAGTTCCACAACAGCTGGAGGGCTGGAGTTGCCCACTGCTGATCTAAGCAGTACGTCTGCTGTGCACTACAGGAACAAATGAGGCGTCTTCCTCCTCTGCGCAGGTTTAGGTAGCAGCCTCTTCCTCTCCATATGTCTGCCTGTGCACATGTGTGACCTCTGACCCCCGCGCGCTCCATCCAAAGTTCCTCCATCTTATGCCAGTTATTCCAGCAGATGTTCCGCTCCCAGGCACCTGGGATACATCACATTTCACCACGGCCTCTCCAGGCAGATAGAAACAAAAGGAAGAGAGGAAACCAGGAATCCTCGCAGCCGGACTGCCAGTGGAATGTTCTGGATGCGAAACATCTGCGATTCCATTCACGACGCGACTGCTGGATTAATCAACCGCAGGCAGTCTGTGCAGCTGTGCCTCCACCGCAAGGCCGAGGCATGATGGGAGTTGGAGTGCCATTTCAGCCAAAGTAAACACGACCGTGACTTCGTTCATAACCTCGCTTGGAGTAAATACTGCAGCCCTGAGAAAGACAGATTAAGCTACAGCAGTAATTCAGACATTTCCGGGATCAATCCTCTGATAACTGCACATTCGCTGGACACGGCCTTTCATCCGAGCAATTGTTATCGCTAGCCAAAGCTGGCAATCTGAAGATGAACTCCAACCTTACAGTGTGCATCAGAAACTGCAGCAAGTCAGGCAGAGCCCGCCTCATTTCTGGACTGGAGGACGTCCAGCATCATAGAGCTCTTTGCCCAATATGGCCTTTCCTTTTATCATTGGATTTCAGTTCTTTCAATCATGGCGGCTCAGCATCACATAAGGGGGTTACCTAGCATGCAAATGCAGTCTACTTAGGAATACCCAGACTGACTCCCACCCATCAAGGTATTTTGATATTTGCACTCCTCCCAAGAGCCAGCTTACTGGTTACATCAGGGCTGTGTTCTATCAAAGTTTGTGACTACGTTGGAATGTGCGACCGTGTCATTTTAACATAATCCCGCCCAGTTTTACAGCAGTGGAATGTGTGACTGCCCATTAGGTCAAGCATTCCAATGCTTTATCAGCTGTTCCAGGCAGGGGCGCCGAGGCCGGGTGTCACCCGGAGTGAATACTGGGTGACACCACGCCGTGATGTCATCGCACGTGCGTGATGATGCCATCGCGCATGCGCGGCCATCTTATTCATAGCTGCCGGCGGGGACGTTCACCCGGCGGGAAAAGGTATACCGCCATTCCCCTTTTCTCTCCCCTATAACTGTCGGGCTCTCGGTCCATGATCGAGTGCCTGATTTTTTTAGAGGGGGTGACACCAAAATTACTGTCAGCCATTTTGGTGTCAGACCTCCAATGGTGTCACCCGGGTGCGTGCCGCACCCCCCCCCCGCCATGCCACTGGTTCCAGGGCAGATCGGCTCACTGCGCATGTGCAGGAGAATCTGCCTGGAACAGCTGATTGATCCTCAAATGTCACTTCTATCCGACTTTGTGAGTGCAGTGGAATGTGATATCGCAGTCGGAGAGAAATGACATTTCAGGACCGATCAGCTTTTCCAGGGCAGCTCGGTTCTCCTGCACATACGATTTGTGAAGCCGATCTGCCCTGGAACAGCTGGGAAAGCGCTGGAATTCTTCACCTATTGGCGGTCACACATTCCACCGAAAAACTGGGCGGGATTACGTTAAAACGCGTGACCACGTCACCAGTCACATATTCTAAACCGCCAAAAGAGGGGTATGGCCGGTACCCATGTCAGGGAGGCCCCTTTCATGGGTATCGGCTGTACCAGTGGCAGCATGGCAGAGGTGACAGGGGATGTGGTGGAGGAGGCCGGCACCTAGCAGCAGCAGGTAAGAAGAGTTGGGAGGAGGTACGGGGAAAGGGACCCTGACGACCAGACCAGCCCATCTGGGACCCTACAGAGCCCACCATATAGAGTCTCAGGTGGGCTATGCAGGATCTATGGTGTGCTCTGCAGGGTCTCAGGTAAGTACAGCACGCTACTGCACTGCAACATTAGAGACCGCTGGGGGGGAGGGGGAGGGGGCTGATTACCAGTGTGATCGGCTCCCGCACCACCCCCCCAAGGGGCCCAAGATAAAATCTTGCACCAGGGCCCTTTGGTTATTAGGTCCACCACTGCCTAAATGGTACAAAAATGAAAGAATAAAATGTAAGATTGAAAACATACTGCATACTACATACCTGATACTTTAGACCTCAGGCTGTCAAACTCGGAGAAATCATCTTTCGCGGTCCCATTTAAATTGCTGAACGGGTCAAAGGACGGACCTCCTGTTAAATAAAAAATATAATGCTTAAAGGGATATTAAAGTCAAAAGATTTGTAAGTTGATGAAATAATTTACAATGGACGCTGCTCCTTGATGTTTAAAAAATCAGCTGATCCCCTGAGCACTGGTGCTGATTTCCTGTGTTAGGGTGGCTCCTTTCCCTTGCTGGGTCCTATGGAGCTATGGAGCCACCCTTGTGTGTGCTAGTAAGCTGTGTGTGTCTCCACAAACACACAGACACAGAAAGGCAAGCTTCTCCCTGCTCCCCGCTCCACTTTGCTCCCTCCTCTATCTTTCGTTCTCTAAGCTAGAAGAAGGACGGCTTCTGGAGTCTGCTCTGTCCCTTGTGATCTTCTACTGGACAGGAAGTTCAGGGAAGACGAGGTAAGAGAGTTGGAGCTGTTCAGAAACATGATGACTGTAATTGCTTAGGCAAAAATTAAAGTAAAACTTTGCTGGGCGATGCATATTTGTTTGATCTGAATACATTATTGAAAAAATGGGCCACATTAGTAAAAAATATTGTATGGGGTTAATACCTGTAATCAGGACCGTCCCTATAATAAGGTAGCTTGAGGTAGTTGTCTTAAGTGGCATCTCATTAGGTCATGTGTGGGGGGGGGAGGAGGGGGTGCAGATCTGCCACCTTTTTGGCCAGAGCATCTTAGGTTGCTAAGAGCTCCTAGCAACTTGTGAGCTCTTAGAAACCTGTGAAGCTCTGGCAGGCGTCCCACCCAGCTCACTGACGTCACTGGTTGCCAGGTGAGCGTCCCGCCTAGCTCCTGACAACCATTGGTGAGCTGGGCGGGTCTCCAGACAGAGGTGCTGTGCACGTCCCTCTACAGTCT